TGTGCAATTTAATTTTATTATTCTTGCAAAAATATATATGTTTCAAATACTTTTGTAAAGAAGTATCTTCCCTTAGGTATAAGGGAAACGGACCCTCTTTTTTCTGTGGGGAAAATGGGGAGTTTACATGTACATGTACAGTTTTTGCCAGACTCACTTTATGAAACCTTGGAATTGCATTTTCATTTCACTTTTCTTCCTATTCCCAATTAAGCCTTATACAAACAAAAATATTTTTGTTGAAAAGGTATAAGGGTTATTCTATATTTATAATACATTTTTTTGTTTTGCTTAATTTAAAAATCTTATGAACATGATGAATATTAACTTTTTTTAAGGTACAATGTATCTGCTACCAGTGCCATTTAAAGTTACCATTTAAAGTTACCAGAGCAGAAATTTAAGTTATGGAGAGAGTGATACACAAGGTAATTTACCAATAGAAAAATAACTTTTTTTAAAGATATTCCTATATCAGAGAATTTAGTTGTCAAAACAAATAGAGAAATGTTAGTAGATCTATTGTGCTACTTTTGTTCTCCTGTGTACACTTTTTTAAATGCCTTTTTCTACTGCACTGATCCTTTTGATTTTTATACACATAAATGTACAATTTAGATTACAACTGGGCTTAAAAGTTCAATTTCATTGATATGAAACTTTTAACTTTGACCAGTTTCATTTGTAAAGTTCTCTATATCATATATGGTGATTCAATGTGCATGTAACTTTCAATAGAGTCAATAAAAAACAACACTTCAAAGAGCCCACATTTTTTAAAAACTTGGATCAGATAAATATAGAACAATAAATTTACTATTTAGCAAACTTTATTTTTCTATATTTATCAAATCTATTTATAACTATCTACCTTCACTTTTCAATTTTTCCTCTCCCAGAGCAATACTCATTTTGATGCAAAAATATAATGTAGGAAGATTTGTACTTTAATTTTAAAAAACAAAATTTAACAGTTGTTTTAAGTTTTTGACATCACATGCTTGTTGAGTAAACAGGCGATTTTAAGTATAATTAAAGCCATGTTTTAAATAAAGTAGAGAATTGGGGGTTATTTTTTTTCGGTTTATTTGAATTGAATTTTATTGTACACACTTGTACATAACCCGCTTCCAAGTTACTCAATGTGTACTACAAGTACAACATTGGGTAGTTTATTTCTCCATAATAGAAAACACAATCTGATCATTCCTTAATCATCTTTTAAAATCAGTTGGCATTCTGGCCAAAATGAATTCTTGAAAATACAATTTTCACGAACATGATAAATGTAGTTGAAATAGAACTAAACTTTGTATGAATTAACTTGAGTTGGACTTAATTTTATCTTTTATGACATTTGATTTCTATGATTTTTCATGCTTACAATTTTTTTTACATGCTCATACATGTACCATTAATTGGCACTAATAGTATTAGTCTAATACATTTGTATTTAAATATTTTCATTTCTATTTTGCAGATTTTCCAGAAGAACTACATAAAAAACTTCATAACAGAGACATAGAGCTATCAGAATCACAAATAATGTCTTGGCGGCAGCATGTTATAAGATGTTTTAAACAAGACCGTGGACATACTACCCTTTTGGATGAATTTTTGATCATTATGGACTGGTCCATGAAGTTTTTGCCCTAATACTTCAAGGAAAAGCAATCAAAGCGGTTTGGATAGAAGGGACTGAATTGGCTTGTGTGTGTCTGGATCTTCAAGGATAATGACTTGATTGAATTTTAAAATAAAATTATTTTTCATCAAATCATAAAGAAAATAATGCTTTTAACTGGTTTTTGTCTTGCCTGTGAAAAAAAGTCGCACTATGCAAGACTTAGGGATTACTATCTGGCTGCAGCAGTGTGAACTATTTGTATAAAGCTTTATATTTCAGAAGGGAGAAGACCTGGATGCTTCACACCTTGTATGCAGATACCTTATGCTTAGAAGTTTCCATCTGTCATGTGTCCCTTTTTTGACCTCATTTTCATGGTTCAGCAAAATCATAAAATATATATATACCAGGTGGTTAGTGTTGAAAAACTTTTAAAAAATTTCAGTTTATTGTCTTGTGAATTGCTCACTTATTATGAATAATAAGATTTTTTATTCCACACCTAAGGGCATTATGTTTTTCGGTCTGTACGTTAGTTCGTTAGTCTGTCTGTCCGTCCGTCCGTAGCCAACTTCAGGTTAAAGTTATTGGTCAAGGTAGTTTTTGATGAAGTTGAAGTCCAATCAACTTGAAACTTACTAGTACACATGTTCCCTATGATATGATCTTTCTAATTTTAATGCCAAATTAGAGTTTTGACCTCTAATTTCACAGTCCACTGAACATAGAAAATGATAGTGCGAGTGGGGCATCTGTGTACTTTGGACAAATTCTTCTTGTATATATGGGTTCCTTGTAATGCCTATATGTCTGTCAGAGAGGGATCACATGACCTTGACCTCATTTCATGGATCAGTAATCAAGGTTTAAGTTAGGAGATTAGGTCCTTTTCTCAGATACTATAAGCAGTAGGTCAACTGTATGTGTTGTATGGTATGATTGTAAAGGGTACGTGTCAGTCTTGTAGGTTTGATCTGATCTTGACCTCATTTTCATGATTCATTGGTCAATGTTAAGTTTTGTGTTTTGGTCTGTTTTTCAATTACCATAAGCAATTACCAAAAGCAAAAAAAAAATAACTATTTTCATGTACTGAATAATTGTAAGGTATACATGTCTGTCTGACAGGATTTATCTGACCTTGACCTCATTGTTATGGATCTTTAAAAAAATGTTAAGTTGATGAGATACATGTAGTTAAACATTTTCAGTCCATGACAATAACATTGAACATTTAGCATTTCACCATTGAGTCAGTTAGGTTTTCTGCTCCTATAGAGTAACCCATTTGTTCTCCTTTTAAGAAACAGTAGTGAGCTTTATCTTGACACAATAATTACTAAATTGATAGGGTTCATACCCTCCCCCTTTCCAAAAATCAAATTGAATTCCCCTAAAATTTTAAAGAATAAGTACATATTTCAATACTTTGAAGGGTATCATCTCTGCACTACAAACTTATCCAAAAAGCTTTCATTTATTTATTATAGATCTGATACTGTCAGAGTTAACATCTAGAAAGGGGGATGACAAACATATTCAAAGGGTTATTTGAAAGTATAGAGTCAATATTGAATATTTATGCTCCTAACAATGATTTTGTTCAGAAAATGATAGCTCAAAAAATATTGTTTAGGTGATTTGGAATGAAAATTTTGAAATCTAGGCATTTGTCTCCATGGCAACCAAATTTACTTTTCAACTTAATTTCTGTATTTTGAATAATTTGATGATTCTTGGTGGAAAAAAATACAGAAATAAAATGCGTGATTAAATATTTTATCATTATAAAGCATACATTTACTAAAAATGTGTATTTCTCAAAATCGGTGTGTTCTGTTTCCATGGAAACTGGTAGTTTGATTTGAGGATAAAGATAAATAAGTAACTGTTTTCTTTACCTTGTTATAATGTTTAGATATAATAAAAGTTAAAAAGACATAATCAAATGAATTGTGCTATGAATACATGAACAAAATTTAGCTTACTGTAAAAAAATAATATCAGCAAAAAAAAAGAAAAGAAAAAAAACCTTTTTTTTCTCAAAAATCTAAAGGAGGCTACAAACGATTATTTTTGATATGTTATAGACAAAGGTCCAATGAACAAATACAAACAAACAGGTTATTCAAAGGACCCTGTTCTTGGAAGAAAATAGAATTGGAAAAACGTTATTTTCACTCCTTTTAAGAAAATGAAAAACTGCAACATTTGGTTGCCATAGAAACAAGAGTTGCCATAGTTGCAACTACTGTTTATCAAATTTAAGTTTTAGAACAAATGTGGAACTATGATAATATGTATTTGTTTTATCGAAAATGATTAGCAGTTTATAAAAAAATCTGTGATGAAAAACGGAGATTTTTGAGGTTTTAGGGCTGAATTTAAAGTTTGTTATAGTGCCATTGTAACCATAGCAACCAAATGTACAACACTTGTGTTTCTGTTATTTTTTTGAGTTTTCTATCAAAATAGAACATATGAAACCCCCAAAAGCTAATTTGACAACTATCACTGTATCACACTCTGCATGATTCTTTGGTGGAGCCATACTTAAACAATATCAAAGCGATGCAAAAAAAGAGAAAAAGTTTTAAATTAAATATAACCTAAATCGTTAGCTAATACGCTTACCAAAACTCATTACTGGATCCGCTATTGGTAAGAACAGTAATAAACAATATTCCGATAAAATGAAGAAAAATGCAGGATTTTAAATTTAATTTTTGGATATACATGTTTAACCCCGCCGCTTTTTTTTGCGCCAGTCCTAAGTTAGGAACCTCTGGCCTATGTTAGTTTTGTATGTTGTTTTTTTTAATTTTGGTTCATTTATATCTTTCGGAGTTAAGTATTCGATAAACTAGTACGTGTATAAAGTAACATTATTTTTTAGGGACAAGCTGAAGCCCGTCTCCGGGTGCAGGATTTTCTCGCTGTGTTAAAGACCCATTGGTGGCCTTGGGCTGTTTTCTGCTCTTTGGTCGGCTTGTTGTCTCTTTGACACATTCCCCGTTTCCATTCTCAATTTTATATAAAAGGCATTTTATATGAACATCTAGTTTGAGTTAATTACTTCACACAATGAAGTAGTATTTCACGTAAAGAGCTGATCGACTACAATATTTAGTTGTAACTCAAATCTTGAATTTATTTATTTGAACTGTTAATAAACAAAAGGTAATTCCTCACTAAATTATTACATGATTTACATTCATACTCACAATAAGGAAACTTATACAATTCCTACCATTGTCATGTATAAATCAAAATTTATTATAATTTCCAAAATTATAAGCAAGTCATGACATTACTAAAACTAATCCATAAATGAAATGAAATGCCTAAAAAGGAAATAATGCATTAATTATAAACTTGCACTGACAATAAAGTGAATTCTTGAATACAAAAAATCAAGAGATCATTAGAGCCTTGAGCACTTTACAATATTCTAAGTTTGTAAAGGAATGATTATCCCTTTCTTCATGATAAATACTCGCTTACGCTCGTACTTATTCATGTAGAAAGGGATTATCATTCTCTTACATATACACACTATTTAGTTTTAAACGTAGGCATATTTGTAAAGTCCTTTGTTCGTTTAAAAAATTGTCACGTATGAATGATTCTAATTCAGTAGTAAAGGTTAATTATAGACCAGAGGAAATTCCACTTCAAATCTTAAAATTCAGACCTTATTTTGTTAGAAATGGCTACATTGAGGGTAAGACCGTGATATATGTAACAGGAGGCAGTCATAGTAATTTGTTTGTTTGTTTAAGTTGATGAGTGAACTAGATTTTTATGTTTGATATCAGCTTTCAGTTTATATCAGTATTTAGTTTTATATTTTGACTAAGTTTATGTTTATTGGTTCTAGGAACAAAGTGACGACACATAAGCAATGCTCATACTCTATGTACTAGACAAACACAACAATCCAATAAGATAAACCAAATTCAAACCAGGAAAAACCATGAATTACACACCTTCTAAATATGACAAGACCATGTACAATAATAATTACTTCCGGGTTCTTCCACTAGGACATGAGTCTGCTACTGAAATCAGTGAGACGATAAAGTTTTCATATTTAATCAATACCAAAACATATATATACCGATTATCAGCTTGTCTGCATATTGCTATGTGATACAATATAAATATGCAGACAACCAGGTAATCCATTTATGGTGTTGTATTTGCGTGTTATGCACAATAGAAACAAGTGTTTTCTTTGTTTCACCGGCAAACCGGAAGATGACTTGATAAGTTTGGGTTAAACATATCAACGTCGGTTCATTCATTATGACGTCGGTGATATGTCCGGGTCTGGTCAACGTATTTGACCACACAAAGCCATGACATGTAATTTTATTAATAGCTGAGCAGAGTAATACGTGTACAGACAGTGGGACGACCGATAACAAAGTATATTGACACAATACAGTCAAATGATATCATTCATCATTAAATCATTTCATAAAGTAAGTTACCTAAGAAATTATACTTTATAAAATTATAAAGTTTAATTCTATTTCATTCCTACCGGTAATCCTATATTTTACCCCATAGAGTTTTTATTCCCAGGTGTGGCAAAGCCAAAGGGTAAAAATTTAGCAAAATTTCAAAAATATCTCCCTTTCATATGGAGCAGTACACTGTTCAAAAACAGTATGGGTTTACATTTTAAGTAATGCACATACCTTAATAGTCTCTATGGGAAGACTGTGGCTCTCTTCATGAATAAGCAATGATAAATTTGAATGACCAACACGTATATATAGAGTGACAGAGCACCTAAATTTAGTAACAATTAAGGTCCCCAATATAATTGAAGTTTAGAGACCAAAACCAATTAAATTTACCTTTACTTAATTTGTTTACAAAAAGTAAAATGGCGTACTTCATAAAGAAGAAAAAAAACCCCAATGTAAAATTCCGAGAAACGATATTCGGAACCTCTCTAAACAGCAGCCATTTACATACAAGAAGAAGTTCATAATATTTGCATAAACATACAGCAAAATAAGGCTATAAAACAAGTAAAAAGCATTATAAAGTAACAAACAATGTCCGTCTAGATTAATTTCTGTAAATATGAAACTGGAAATTACCAGTGCAATTGAACTTCAATAAATTTAGATATATTTCGTTTGAAATTCCCGGCAAAAACGTTATCTGAAATATGTTTATTAAAATAAGCGTCTCCGCTACATTCCCACACCTAAATCACTATGATATGTTTATTGGTTTATACCAAATAAATTCTATAAATGAATGATTAAAAGTAGTACAAGTATAGATAAATTATAGTGATTTAGTAATTCCTTCACAACCAACACCAGTTCGCCATTACGCTCTATAAGTTCATAATCCGTGTCTCGGGGTATTTTTTCTCCTACCTCCACAAATCCAACAAACTCTTCTTATACGGTAACTACTTTTTCCTTAACTGCCGGTAATACAGGACCAGGAAATCTGTACTTGCAGTTAATAATGCTCCTTCTCGTCATCCCGTCGGCAGCCCTTCTTGCCGAAAGTGACGTATACTTGTGGAATTTTACTAGATGCTCCCTCATCTCCATTCTCGAATGTGTCAATTTTATACAGGTAGGGCATGGAAAAACCGAGGCTGTTGAGATGTGATTCTTCCTCCAATGTACTGATAAAAACGGCTAAACTTCCTGTCATCACACGTCGTCCCAGGACATATATAGTCATTATTAAAGATTGGCCGGACCCTGTCTTTATCTAAAACCAAAAGATCCTTATTATCAACAAATACTTGAATAGTTTCCATCTGTAAAACAACAGCAGCTTAAGTCATCAAGTTACAGTAAGTATAATACACATTTAAATTAAATATAGAAATAAAATGATAAAATGTTAACTTGTGTCTGTTTTCGAAAAAAAATCGCATGATTCTCGCAACTTTCAATTACATATATGTAAAGAAATAACTATTTAATCAGCTTATAGAATTGCCTCGACTTTTACTTTTAGTTATGTTCAGTCGTTCATTACAAAACAGACCTTTTATATGGGTCAAACGAACTTCAAATTCATATAAGCTTCAATAAAGTGACTCAGTAGGTGCATTAGTCAATTATATTTCTTCTTTGAAATAAATAATAATTAAGATAGGGTAAATGAAATATATACCAACAACTTAACAATTTTATTTTCTTCATTCAATCATAAAGGAAACCAAATTCATCATATAGTTTTAAATATACTGTCTATCATGATTAAAAAAATAACTAACGATTTACGTTATATTGCATGTGGGGAGTACCGTAATAGCTTCTTGATGGCTCGACCACACCATAATTGCCTGGGAGGTATTTTTAAAATTGGTAGTATCTATTGGACCTTCGTCTTGTTCTAGGTCATCAAACTAGGTTCTGGGGTTATAAAATTTTCTCCCTCTTCCTCTTCAGATTCTATTTCCCTATTTACAGACCAATTCAAGCTAGAGGAACTGTCCCTAGATAAGGTTTTAGGTGATACACATGATCTTTTATTTCCCGACTGGTTGGACTCTCTTTTATTACATATGTGCTTCAAAGAATTGATTAAGCACTTCATATGGCCCTATCCATCATAAATCTAATTTAATACCAGCTGTAGGAGGATACAATCTCAAAACAAAATCTCCTACTTCATAGTTTCAAGATTTTATGCCCCTATCGTTAGTATTATTCTGTCTAGTGGCAGCTTTTGACAAACTATCTTTTGCAAAGTTAAAGTTATCTCAAAACTATGTTTAAGCCAAGTACAACACTCTATAGGACATAAATGGACTTTGGATTTCCGCCAAAATATCTAAGTGGTAAGTCATTTCCCTTCAAAATATATTTTATAAGGAGTTACCCCTGTGCTATCATGCTCGATTACCCTATTCGCCATGAGAAGATAGGGTAAAGGATCTTCTTAATAATTCCTTTTTTTGTTGACAAAGGAGGATAACATGATTTGCAAAGTTTTGTTAAACCTCTCAACTAAACCATTATTTTTGGTCTATAGGCATTTGTTCGCGTTTTCTTAATACCCAAAAGTTGGCAAACAGTTTGAAATAGTCGAGATTCGAATTCTCTTCCCTTATCAGAATGTATTTGTTTTGGCATTCCAAACCTTTTTTTATTATGTTTCTGCAACAGTTAGTGCATTATGATTAGATACGGCATATGGTTCACACCATTTAGTAAAATGATCAGAAACAACAATAATGTCTTCATTTCCATTTTCTGTTATAGGACAAGGACCAACAATATCAATGCCTATCCGATCGAGAGGAAATCCAACTTGATATTGCTGAAGAGGGTAACGACTTAATCCAGAATCTCGCCTTGCTTAGGCACAAACAGAACACTCTTCATCCAAGAGCCTATGCTGAAGTTTATCTTCGCTAGACAAGGGTTACGATCCAGTCCCTCCTCTCCACCCTTGGCAGATTATAAGCCAACATTTGTGATTACAATGCTGCGCCATCTACCGGTAGATGTCAGTCAGGCCTATTCCGGCTACATCATTCCTGACCAATGACAGCACTTTGAACTCTCTTCCGTGTGGAGGTGTAATAATGGTTGTGGCTAGTGTGTACAAATTTCTTGAAGCAGGAACCATAAATATAAGTTGACATTTCAACATTTGCGCGAGAACTATACACAGGAACATCAATTAGTTGATTAAGAACTTTAAAATTTTCTCTAAATATCGTCCTACGTTTTTGGGGGTAAAGACTTGTTGCGCAATCAGCACGTGTCAATTGTTTATTTACATTTTCTACATTTTCATGTGGTCATCTTAATGGCGCTTGTTGATTAGATGCAGCCAGTTATAACTGCGACCAATGGAATTCATTATCTCGTGGATCCGAAATTCTATCTTAATCAGCCAGGTAGAGGGTAGAGGAATGGATCATAACCCTTGGCTAGCAAAGATGGCTGAAGATATACCATGCCAATATAATCTTCGTTTAATGAACTCTAACGGTCTATCTTAACCTAAATGACCAGAAATTGTATTGTCATAATGTAGTTCTTTTTAACTTTTTGGGGACAAACAAAATTAGTTTCACCAGATTTGTCATATTGTTTATATTAGATTCCATCTACTATTTCTAGTCATTCCCAGTCACTTTATAATTCCCAATCATTTCACGAGAGGAGGCAGACACTTGTTCGCAACTGGATTTTTCTTATCAGACCGAGTTTTGAATTGAATAATCTTAGCTGAATCTGAATCATTTTCTTGCCATGATTTGATTTCTTCATGAGTCCATATTCTTAACCAGTTTGAAAAATCTAGACTTTCATTTATATCATCATTCATTTATATAATCAGGGACATCAGAGTACTCAATATGGGATAGTTTTGTTTTGTTCTATATCGTCCTCCGTAAATGGGATTGTTTCATCAAAATCATGATAATTTTCAGCCGTTAAAGGGTTAATTTAACAGAACTTATTGTTTTGTTACACCCTGTATAATCATTACAATTTTACAAAGCCGATATGGTTTTTTAAATAAAGAATCAGCATTGTGTGTTGACTGCCTTTTCAAAATTTAAGGATTCTGGTATATCCATGTCATAGTAGATGCAATTTCAGAAAAATGAGGAATAAAACGTCTGTTATAACCTGCTAATCCCAGGAAACTACGAACCTCATTGATATATTTAGGGGTAGGACAATCATGTACAGCTTCAATGTTTGATTGATCACAAGCGATGCCTCAGCTGTAATTAATGATCCCAAAAATAAAATCTGATGTTGAAAAAAAGAACATTTCTTGGGGTTTAATTTCAAATGTGCTTGCCTGAATCTTTCGAAAATAAATTCTACATTTTCAAGTGCCTTTTCAAAAGAAGGTAAAAAAAGATTACTTCGTCTAGATACCGTAGATATCTTTTACATTGATAGCCTTTTGATACAATTTCCATAAGTGTTTCAAATCAGCTAGGTGCATTGCACAGGTTAAAAGGCATTACTTTGAATTGAAACAATCCACGATGGCAAGAAAAATCTGTTTTTGGTATTCCGTCAACTAAACATTGCCAATAACCGGGAAATAGGTCGATCTTACTAGACTATTTATTCCCTCCAAACGAATCTAAAGAGGTATCCATACGGAGCAAAAAGTAGGTATCCTTGTGAGTCAAAAGAAAGACCCCTTTAGTTTATACAGAACCTCCATGTCTGATCCTTTTTTCAGACAGAGTATAAATGGAGAACTCCAGGGAATATTATTGGGTTCTATTTTATCATCTTTTAGCATTTTGTCAACTTCTTGACTAATTATTTCTTTCTGCGTAAGAACAACTCCTCTGGAAGGAGTTTTATGGGCCTGGCATCATCAGTATCTATAGTGTGTATAACAAGGTCAGTGCGACCTAATTTTCCCTCGGGCCCCAAGAAAATATCTTGATATTTAGAAATAAGCCTTTTTATATCCTCTTTTTGTTCTTTAGTAGCTTTAGGGGACATTTTCTCAAGCAGACATTTTAAATGTTCAGGTAGCTCTTCAGTATCTGATTTGTCAAACTCTAATATCTGTTTTGTCAAACTTTAATATTCTAAAGACTCAGAAATTTTACTGATACATTGGATATTCCCTTCAACTTTTTACCCTTCAGTGTTATATCTATATCGGTACAATTAAGGGCAGAAATAACAACTTTATTATCTTAAGCATCTACTTAAGCATTGGATATTAAAATGCCTTGCTTTGCTAGATGTTCATTAGATTCTATTAACATATTATTTTCCCTCATATGGTTTGGAACTGTAGTTTCAAGAGCTGTTTCAGTATTAGCTGGTACTATTACTCTTTCTTTTAATCTAACTAATGCACAATTGATGCTTTGTGTTTTCCTTAATTTTATCACAGTTTCATCAGGCATAATAAGTAAGGCTTTTGAAATGTTTAATTTAGCTTCAGAACTCTTTAATAAGTCTATGACTTATATTCCTGACATGTTATCTAAATCTACAAGTCATGTTCACCTATTTTAAAAGGTGGTTTAACTTATCAAAAAACTTTTAAACTTTTCCCGCTACCTGCTTTGAAAGTAGTAGAGTTCGTTCTTTATTTCAAGTTTATCGTAGGATGATTTAGAATTACATGTAATAGCTGATTCTGTATGTACTAAAAACCCAAATTTCTGATTATTGAAAAGAACCTTTGCGAATAGACCACACTGCTTAATTTCATTTATCATAATAGTGGGGCTCTTTTAAGTATTTTAGGCTAGGATCCCGGTCCCGACTTCTTTTCCTTTGTGTTTAAATCATTACTGCTTTTATTGTCTCTATTTTTTCTGGTTTGTTCTGTTCTAGCCTTATTTGACCTACAATTATTTGTAAAATGATCCATTGTTTTACACTTATAACAGAAAGGAGTTTTACATTCTGTGCTATTATGGCCAAATCTTCCGCACCAGGGATTGATTAACTTAGTTCATAAATTCTTTTATTTTATTCTTGGAAACAAGAGGGACGAAAGATACCAGAGGGACAGTCAAACTCATAGATCGAAAACAAACTGACAACGCCATGGCCAAAAATAAAAAGACAAACAGACAAATAATAGTACAGATGACACAACATAGAAAACTAAAGACTAGGCAACACGAACCCCACCAAAAACTGGGAATTTTTATCTGATTTGGTAAATTTTAAATTTTGACAAATATTTATTTTCTTCCTTATCAATCCTATTTTCGTTTTTTTCAATGTCAATTCTTATTGGTATTCTTTATATTTCTTTATTTCACTTGTCACGCTAGTTGATCCTACAAAAGTCTCATTTTCATTTGCTGTTACCATAGAGGTAAATTCAGTAAAATAAAATATACGTCATTAAGGACCGTCCATTTTGGAGAGAGCTTTCTGGAGTCCTGTGCTCCACCAATTGATAGATTATGTTTGTAATACATATTTCTTGGTAAGATGGATCAAAACTAGGGTTAAAAAAATAAAAAATGAATTCTGAATGTACTTAATTTCTTTACTACAGGGTTTAAATTTGATGGGGGTCAGTGTAGGAACTTAGTGAGAACCTACAGTTTTTGTAAACAAGGCCATGTAAATGGCCCAAAAAATGCCGCATGACCCTATGTTTTGATTGTTGTAAAAGACTGAGATACATTTGTTCTTAAATGAATGATATATGTAAGCTTCTGATTTCTAAAGGTAAACCAGGTTTAAATTAAATTTCAGTAACAGGTTTGCATTGAAGTCAATAGGAGATTTTAACGGAATTTACCTCTATAGCACTTTTTAATGTTAGAGGATGTGAAAATTGTACTCGCTTTTGGAGCTCAAAATGTTCAAGGACTTTGATGAAATAATCAATGCCAAATCTTCAGTTTTATCAAGGTCTAAATACGTTGACCTTACAAACCTTCTTAATACATAGCTACAATCAGAAAGGCTTTCATTTTCCCGACGTACACGAGATTTGAATTCAACTCGATAAGCCGTAATTCTCTCTTTTGGTGAAAAAATTTCTACTTAGCATTTCTTTTAATAAAGAATAACTTCGTAATGTTTCATCTTTCGCATCACCTAGTAAGTGTTGCCCCGAAACTAATACACAATTGTGGAGCCATGTCAGTTTCATTCCATTGATTCCGGTGAACCGTTTGTTCGAAATGAACAATAAATTCTTGTCAATCTACATTTCCCCAGCAAACTTATCTGGCTCTTTTTCTCGATGCACAATCGAATAAGAATTGCGAAAAGAAACTTGCTTTAATAGAGTCGCACTTATGTTTGTTAATGCAAGAGGATTTGCAATATTAGGCCCTCTCTTAGGTAACTTTCAGTAATCAGGAGATCTGATTTCTTTTCTGCTACGAGGTTCTGAATTTGCTGCTGCTGTAATCAGATGTTACTACAGACACTCCGGGGAGCGACGATTTGCTATACAAGCATCTGTTGTCCATTAAATTATGGGTATAATCTCGTAAAGGACAAACTTAAATGCTGCTTTTATGTAATTGATCCTAAGAAAACTGTTATCATTCATGGTACATGATTCATATTTAGAAAAATGATCATAAGACTTTTGTAAAGATAACCACAAAAAAAATGAAATTTGACAAATTAGTACCTATAATTTTGCCAAGGTTCAACAAATACTTCTATCACGTTTACACTCACGAGCTGAAAATAAAGCGCAGTCAAACAAACAGTTAAAACATTTTTCGTACATTTTTCAAGAAATCAACAACGGAGTGTGGTTGATAACACAATTTACGACAGACGTGATAGCAGTAAACGACCAATTTCTTGACGTGTATCCTACATCAACTGCGATTTATGTAGTTTACATTTCGCAATTAATCCGCTATTTCTGAAGCATGTATCGTCACAAAGGCTATATCACAAGATGTACTTACAATTTAAAAATTGATCGTATCAGTTTAAGCGTCCAATGGCAGCCACCATTAGTTTTTGTTGCTCTTGTTCTAGTACCAATGTTGGGGTTTTGGGAGTCTCTTTTGTTGTTTTACATTTCTGCTTCACAAGCATTTGTTTTCTTAAAATTTAATTAGAAACATGGATGAACAGAGTTAGTAAAGGAAGCAAATAAAATAGATATACAATTATGGCCCGCTGAGGAGGTGAATATCAAAAATTGTCAATCTTAAAAGGTTATTTCCCTGAGGGCATAACTTTTAAGTTTTGACAATTTTGGATATTCAACGATTCTAAGGGGCCACAATTGTTTTATTATACCGAACTTACAGTGGAAGGGTCTTTTGAAACATTTAAAAAAATGTCCTTACGGTAGTAAAAGATTGTCAATACACTTACGTTAGAAAAATTATTTTGTGTCTAAGAATTTCTGGTATCTACAGCAAAGGTAGACTCTTTCTATAAAATATTGATGGCCCTGAAAAGGACCGTTTACGAGAGATATCCTCGGTACTAGATGCATTTCCAAGCCTTGTTTGATCGTGTTTCCTCGTTAATTGATGGGCTTCACTTCTTACCTGGCCGTTGTCATTTTGTTTATAGGCGTCAATGACGTCATTGTTTATGGGAGATAGCAAGGGGCTGAAAAGGGTAATTCACCGGTGAATAATAGGGTTATTCACCGCTAAGTGTCAATGTTTAGGGTTATTCGTCCTTCCTTTCATTAAATGAAAATTAACTGAATACTCCATGTCACGCGATAATGTATTAACCAATAGAATTTTTATAATATATGTAAGGTGTAATAATCATTGTTATTATCTCCCTTATTTTACTTGTCATTGTGAGATAATTCAGCACCAGAAAAACTAACGTTTTATAAGAGAGCACAAACCGGAAGGAACCACTAATTAATGTACAAAACTCTTGACACAATTGCTTCATAATGACTATGAATAATTAATGATACAATGCATTAGGAAAATTACATTTCTATTTTGTAGAATAAAAACTGGGAAAACATCCTTGTCTTAAGTATACGAGTGGTCTTCCTTAGTTTCTTGGATACAATATTCAGATTTAGCTACCAATACCTCGGATGGGCATCATATATTGTGCGTTGTTTAGGTAAGTGTTACAATTAAATGAAGACCCCCTTTATCAACATTCTTCTTCAGAAATTAATGAAAATAACAATATTTGTGAATTTATAGCAATATCTAAATAAAGGCAACAGTAGTATACCGCTGTTCGAAATTCATAAATCGATTAAGAAAAAAACAAATCCGGGTTACAAACTAAAACTGAGGGAAACACATCAAATATAAGAGGAGAACTACGACACAACAGAAACACAACATTAAAATGTAACACACACAGAAACGAACTATTATATAACAATGGCCATTTTCCTGACTTGGTACAGGACATTTTAAGAAAAAAATGGTGGGTTAAATTAGCATTTAATTTTCTGACACTATCTTGACTCAACTTTGAACTAAAACACCTCTCTTCCAGTTTACAATTTTAAACCGAGAAAATATGATTGAGTAATACGGTTTTGAAATAGAAATGTCTTTGAAAAACGGACAGCAATGAATACATTAACATGTTTTAAAGTTTGTCAGAGACAAATTTTAATTATACACTTATTGCTTATTTGTTCGTTTTTTTTTCGCAAATTCTCAAGTTCTACGTAAATTGATTTTTCGAAATGTATATCTGTTTTAAAGGGTCTCGCATTGTATCTGAAAAAAAAATGTTCGAATTCAATGGTTTATCAGGGGAGATCTGACCTTTGTAGATGCTGAGACAACCTTGGATTAAGATAATAATATTCATTTTATTGGACTACTAATATTCAAGACTTATTTATTTTCATTTCGATGCGGTTATTGAGAACCACTGCTAATAATTTGCTATTTTTGTTTAAATTTAAGGACTCTTGACCCTTTTGGTTGTTCCTGGATTACCATACAGCATTTTACTAACCGTCTTCAGGATTACGGCGGGAACCTCAAATATAATTTTAGCATGGCTTGTAACATCGTTGTTTATAAAGTGTGGAGAAACACCAGGATACCCTGTGCATATTTTGATCATTCTAAAACTTGTTCAAATAAGTTTAATCCTTTTTTATTATTGGTTTAATGAGGTTAACACATTATATCGGTTCGCAGTGTATTTTTACCTCTTTTTCATCGGAGGAACGGTGTTACAAATTTCTCCTGATTGGATTTTCAACGCCTTAACTATAGTCACAATTTTGTTTCTTGTTTTGTTATTCCTTCATGTGTTTGAGAACGGAATCTTATCTCCTGAAGAGCAAAGGCATATAAATCTATACTTCCAACGTTTGGAAGAATTAGAATTTGGTGACATAAACATATTCCATAGAAAGGAGTTTTATACTTATTTTATAGTTTTATGTACTGTATGCCTAGTTAACAACTGGCTCGTGGTTGACCTTGATCAAGACATCAACAAAACTAAATTGGTGTTTTATACCACACTCGGCATGAGTTGTTGTTCTGTAATCTCCGTTATAGCATTTTCTACAATTTCAATTGTTATTTGTAAACATCTGTTAAAGTTCTGCTATTTCATTGTAAGAGGGATAAATGAATCCACAGAAGAAGAGCTCGGGTTACATATATTGTACATCATAACCGTATATGTATCTACAACAGACATGATCTTCTTTGACATGAAGCCGTTAGACCGTGGTATCTTTTTGTCCAGCAGAATTGTATTTCTTGCAGCTTGTTTACTAGAAGCGTGTTCAATTATCGTAGAAATAGCGAGTGCGGAAGTGGCAGCAATACAAGCATCAGGATTCAACACCCTAAGAGTTATCGGCGTGCATATTGCATTTTGTATTGGCTCTGTGGCAATACTATATGGACTTTTAGTCCAGTATTCCATGAAAGATTTGGGCATTTTTCTTGCAACATCTTATTTCGTTTGTAATTTCATAAGAATATTTGCTTCGCTTTTTATATTTTGTCTCTATAAATTTGATGAAATTCGCCAGGAATTCTGGGAAAATTTTGATGATGTGATATTTTACGCACGCATGACTTTTTCAACGATTATAATTGTTATTTGTATGCCTACAGCTTGTGTTGGTGTTTGGACAGTATTTTATGGATTCTACACGTGGCTTGATTTATATCGACTACTAGCAATGTGTCTGGTCAATGTATTCATTGGTATTAAAGTTCTATTAAATACTATTCGACAGAGGAAATGGGTCATGGCGTATACTACTGAATTAGAAGATGCATCAAAATCTCAACTAAGCAGTAATGACTGCAGTATTTGTTTGCAAGAAATGATGAAAGGAAAAGTTACCCGCTGTGGTCATTTGTTTCACGAGATATGCCTACGAAAGTGGTTAAATACGAGAATGGTGTGTCCACTGTGTAACACGTCGATTCTAATACATGTACAATAAATTTTGCGTATACAAACTTACATTCATACTATATTGGAATTTTTTGTAAAACATCAGTTGTTTATCTATATTAACCTGCCAGAAGAAGCATCTTTTTGCGTATTTGAAGAAACCGGAATTTTTTACCTTTTTGAAGCAGTTGTTTATCCATCTGAAGACATTGTATTCCTTTTTTTTTTAAACATCAGTTGTTTATCAATTTGAAGCAGCAGATGTTTACTTATTTGAAAGGTTACGAAAGTAGTTTGCGCAAGTTGGTCTTTCAAGGTGTAAAACATGGTAAAAAAAACCATTCAAGTATTTGACGATATGCAAATCACATTTGAATAAATCTTTTTTAACATATGGCTACCAAATGGATTTAAAACAGTTGGTTTTCATTCATAAACTATGTTCTGCTTTCGTTTGAGTATCATCGGTATAAAACAAGTATCATTACATATCCATTCGACATGCATTTATATCAGACAGAAACAGACGGTATGGGCGCAGTTCGTAAAATGCTGAAATGAAGAGCTTAATGAAGAAATTATGAGCTTTTCACACCACTTTAATTGATTCAAGTTGATGATAACGTTTCTTATATTACAGGCTGCGCCTCTTTATATAGGGATACGGCACTCATCTTAATATGACGTAACACGACAGTGTAGTTGAAGTAAACAAAATTGGATATGCAGCAAAAAATAACACTTTTTTATTTCCTTAAAATATTTCCTTAAAAACTAGTTAAAACGTATCATTATCTAATGCGAAAGAATTAAGATGAGGTCCATAGATTTGACATAATCGAAACACTTTAAAATCATCTTTTGTTCAAAAACTTTGAAATCTTTAAAAGTACAAATTGTTTGCATGTTTATTGTCCTGTCATTTATTAACTGGAACAGACATTATCTGCCATCGTTATATTCACACAATGTCCCCCTGGCCTTTTTTTTTTATAGTAGAAATATTTCTGCCGATGTAAGAATTTTTATTAAATGTTAAGATATAATTTTACGAGATTATACTTTATCCACATACATTTTTGAAACGATCAATAATTGGAATGATAGTTTAGAGGGGCATTAACTGCCATTTCGACAAAAAATTAAAATGTGATTTTTTTTTGTTTCAAACAGTTATAAAAACGGAATATAATGAAATACTATTTCGATATTAGCCGTCAGTTTGCTTCAATTTTCTCAAAATAAGATCGAAAACGTCCTAAATGTATTATTGACTTGCAAGTGACTAATTCAACCTCAGTTAAACCCGTATTTATGTATCCCTAACTTGACCTTTAGCTGAAGATGGGTTACAAATGCCTAAGCGTGTTAAGTTATTAAAAAGAAAAGAATGTCAACGTTGAAATGTGAAACAATGGATTCACCATTAAAAAAAACATTTCTTTGACCGATTCGGACCACAATTAATCATTCATATCTAAGTAAATCATGATTTACATTTCATTTAATCTATGAAATGAAGCAAACAGACCTGGGGAAATCGTAATAACACAACTCCACGTGCTTCTCAGTCTATTTATATTTATATCGGGTCGACTGACTATCGGCAGTCTTCGGAGGTAATCCCGATGGTTAATTAAATGGCGTTTAGTCTAAAATACACACGAAATGATACATTATACTGAGTCTATGCATTGTTAATTGTTTCTTTTGAACTTATTGTAATTTTAATTTACGTTTAAGTATGTTATGAATCAAATGAGAATTTAAATCAAATCGGTAATCATGAATATGACAGCTAATGTCCCTTAAACAGAATTACTCAATGGACGCTTAACATACAACGGGTGTCTATGCAATAACTGCCACAACTAGGTTAGAGTATAAACAAATCCTTAGATATCAGCGGTAGTTTTATACTTACCAAGAATATTGACTCTGAACTTTAATTTGCTATGTCTCAATTTAATCTGAAATTGAATACATATGATAGTCCGATTTTAGTAGATACACGTTGTTATATGCTCTGAGTATAAAACATTTAATTTTTAAAAGTTCACAATATTGTTTAGTGATCATTTATACCGATGATTTAAAACAATAAAGTTGAAGTGGATGTACATAACATCCACATTAGTAATTATCAAACGAACAATGCATATACGGCTGTTCCTAATATCATCAATCGTCGTAAGTCGTAAGTAATTATATACTCAACTGATTATTACAACAAGGAAACCGCAAACCCTATCGTAAATTTTGATATTAAGAAAACCTAATCAAATATAATTAAACCAATTGTTCAGAGAACAATTGAAGGTCTGTCCACCCAAATTCACTTAAGATAAGAAAATTTGGATAACAATTCGTATGTCTGGTGTTAGAAGATAGCTTATCTCACTTTGAGTTCCAAAATACAATGCTTAAAGAACTTTGTTCACAATAAAGGGAGACAATTAGCCACTTCCGGTCAAAACATAGTCACTTTCGGTGTCAAATAGAAGCTTACTTTACGCTGATTCCAAATATTTATTGTTTCTATATACTTTTGCTTGAAATAAGGGAGATAAGGTGCTACTTCCGGTTTACAAAATTTCATTTCCAGTATCATTTGATAGGTTACTTCACACTGATTATGAGTTATATTACTATACAGCTTATTTAAAATCTAAAAGGGGAGAAAACTCTCATTAGATGTCAACGTACCATTTCAACAAAAATGTATGTGTGACGACATGTCGCAACTAACAATTTAGTAAACATATTTTGTCCATATTTTCTACAGTTTCTGATAATAGTAAAAAAATAAGCTAAAATCAAAATTGAAAATATGACCGTGACCTTGATCCCATTTTCATTTTGATTGACAAAGGAACTCAAATCAAAAGACTCTAGGTCTCTATCACCTATGGTTTATTAGTTACTGTAACATTTCAATTATGTCGAATACATCATAGCCAGAAATTAGTAGTACTTTTGCTAATTAATATTCATAATATGTAAATGAGAATTGCACCACGTGATAATAGTTTGAACTGGACTGGCTTGATATCATTAAAATCTTTAAAACACGGATATTATAAGTTGCCCGTCAAAGAGTCCTTGTTTATAATCACTCTGATATTTCCGTAAAGTTGTCAGGCGGTCAAAATCAAAACAATGAACTCGAATTTAGCGAATTTTTCGTGCTTTCGTGAGTTTATTTTTCTTGAAATAGGGGCATTTTAACTTTACGTGGGAACCTAGAGTTCAACAACTACACATACAAGGTTTGGACTTGCTTATTCTTTGGACATTCAAGTTTCAAGTTTCATTCCCGCAACCTGTTTTTGTAATGACTTTGTTAGCCAATTTTCAACACGAAGTTTGCAAATTTGACGTTTCAGCCATTTTAGCCTGTATTTTATACTGCAATGTTAAAAGTCTCTCGCTTCGATTTTTAAAATAGCTCAGGAACCTTGATTTTTGCAACGACAGTCATTATGTTTCGTTTAAATGGTGTATATTGTTGTGTATATTTATTTTCTGTCCTTGTTGTGTATATTTATTTTCTGTACCTGCAACCTGTCTATCACTCAAATTAAAGTTAAAACAGACATTTTTTTTCAAAATTCCCTATCATTTCAATATAATTTCCGTGACCCGTATCCGAATTCTTTAGTATAATATTCAAATAAGCAAAGTGGCGTTGATTTCTGGATATGTAAAGGGAAATAACTTTATATGGAATCTCCAGAATCTTCGGTCAAAATTATTCTTAAGATCCTGAGGATATAACGAGCAAATTGGTGAAACAATTTTGTCGTAATCTTTTACGGCTGCGAATGAATAGCTTACGGTTGCGAATGAATAGCAAACACAAGAAAAACAGTGTTCGGGATGATAACTCTTACACAGAAATATGTTCCTTTAACTGTTCGATATCATATATCAAATATCTAAGCGACATCTTGTGAAACAACCAAACAGCGCAAGAAAAAATCTGGCGAAGAAAAAAAAATAATCAGAACAAAATCAATAGGTCTTTCCACGGAAAAGTGGAACGACCTAATTAGAGGAAACATATTCTAGAGTTAAGTTGTATGAAACTAATTTAATAATTTACCTACAACCTTTACCAGTCGATGTCTAATTAATGTATGTCATAAAAGCAGCAATCTTGAAAGGTTCAAACCTGCCATATCAATATCCAGAAACTTTAATGGTTAAACATTAATGACGATAATCAATCGGTGTGCATTTGAACTGTTGACAAAACATAGAGACGGGTAAAGGTATTGTGTACTTTAAAGTAACGAATAACTCAACATTGAGGTCATTATGATTATCCATATCACTAATCTTTCACTTCCGGAGAGTATAAAATATCAAACTCCATAAAATTTGATGGACCCGAATTTCCGGAACGTTCGATTTATATTATCCGGAAATTCGAGTCTGTCAAATTTTACAGTGTTCGATATCTTATACTCTCCGGAAGTGAAACCATTTTGAAATAGAAGTAGATCATTGTACACATCAAATGGAATCATAACTTATTTTAGCATTACTTTTAGATATTTCTGGAAATATTTTGCACCAACAAGCACACAAAAGGTAAGACTTTTAATCTATGCAAAAATTAGGCCGTCAACGAAGATTTTAGGCAAAATTGGGTCTCAAAGTTATGCCGAAAATTCTTTCTCAAAGTCCAGACGGAAAAAATGGCTTCAGCGTTATGACATCGTAGGAAGGCGTCACACAAAGAAAAAAAGCCTTTCAAGACGTCATAATTATTTGGAATACCATATCACCTGTTTATGAAAAAGAATTTCAAAAGGTAGATTATTTCTAGGTATCCGATACATTGTATATTTGTCTTACATTAATTTTATAAATTGTAAAGTTCCTCTTTGTAAAACATTGCACATTTTGAAAGTAATTTTGCAATATCCATTATTCTAATATTCACAAATATATCCTAATTATATTGTAAAGTCATATTGCCGAAGTGCACGTCATACTTGGAATGGAGGAGGTTAATATTTTTTTAGAAACCTATCTTGTTTGATTGAAATTCTAAAGGCAATTATCCATAAAAAGATTAAAATTTTAAGGCATAATCTTGATACTGAAGTAAATGAAACATGTTGGGAATACGCTACGAACTTTTACAATTCAACAAAATATTTTAATTGACAATTTGACAATCTTATTATATGGATACAAAAAAGTTAATTAGTCTATTATGATAAATAAGTAATCGACAATATAACATTAATATTGTTTTAATAATAATCTGACAAAAAGTCCGGATACTCTAGCCATACTAAAGACCTGGATACAAAATGTTAATTTGCTTATTATGGTGTAATGGAATGAATCATAATTTGAAATTGTCAAGCAGTCTTAATA